TTGTTAGCGTCTTTCCATTTCTTAAGAGAATAGCCATTTTACAGATTTTTCCCATAAGCTTTTTATATACGCATACTTCTTGCCACATTTAGTAGCAGTACACACTGTAAATGTACTATGTCTGTTTAATATTGCCATCACTGTATTTAGTATTTATACTGTCTTGAACTTTATGAGGTTAAATGGTATTGTTGTTACAATTCAACTGGATATTTTCTAACAAATTAGAATTAATCAATACAAATTGTCACCTTCTCCCTCCCCAAATGCTACTATCTATCTTATACAGGTCGACCCACGCAAATATTCCCACAGCAGCTCAGCTGAACGCTTCCTGGAAAACTCTCACTCCTCTCTGGATCGGGTCTGTGGTTTGGGGTTTGGGGAACTGGACTGTGGCCGCTCCTGTGACTACAAAGTGGGCTCTCCTTCATATCTGGATAAAATTGCCTGGAGAGATGGCAAGCCTCAACACTACTCAGAGCCGAAGCTGATTCTGGATCTGTCTCATTGGAAGCGTAACACTCACAACCTCCCTGTGCCTGCTGAGCCTATTGGTGGCAGCGTGGAGGACCTGGGAGAGATGAAAGAGGAGGAAGCAGAAGAACAGGAGGAGACGGGGGACTTATTCCAGGAGATCTCTCGCTGGGTGGAGAGCACCCAGTCTCGTCTGCATTCGCCCAGTCCCAGTCCTTCTCTGGAGCAACGTTCACCCTCCTGCTACACCTCCTCTCCCCCTCTCCCTCTCTCCCCGACTGACCTCCCAACTCCAGTCTTCCACTACGCTGAAGTTGTTCGGCAACCATCAACTGAATATGACGAAGACAGACTAAGCCCATTCCCGCCTGTTACGTCTTCCTCCAATTCCCTTCCCTCACTCCTCCCCTCATCTCCCACCTCTCAACTTCCTCCACAGTCACCTGAAACAGTGTCTCCCCCCACATCGCCACTTCCTCCCCCCCGAGAATCTCAACCTCTTTCCTCTACTTCCTCCATTTCTCAGCCAGTAAATGACGACTCCTTGGAGTCACTCCCTGTCAAGCAAAAAGAGCGGCTGTTCGACCTGGACGTGTTCATATCCCGAGCACTGAAATTGTGCAGGCAGAATAAGGAGAAAGCCGATGGGAAGAAAGGAAAAGAGGGAGGATGGAGGGAAGAAAGCAAACCGCCGAACATTAACCGAAAGTTGCCCAGGCTTCCAGAGCACAGGACTCCACCACCACAGACTCCCAACTCTTGATGCTGAATTTCAACTTCAGGTCCTCCGCAGTATAGCATCATAACGGTTAGCACTTTCAAATGCTCATAGTGCTTCACAAAGTGAGGGGTATCCATGGTTGAATATGCTGCTTAAACATTAGACCTTGGTGTTAGCAGCAGTTGTCTTTTTGGTACTATTGCAACAACATGCTACACGCTGTGACTAAAACCCTCACTTAAACAAGCAATCCTGCAGCTTTGTCAAGAGGTGCTCTCAGGCAATAAGAGTTCAGAAAGCATTAGGGTTAAATATAAATAACCATGCTTTAGCACTGCAACTATCAAGGATTTGTTCAACATGACAATATTTAGAAAGTGGGCTAATTAATGGTTGTGTGGTTTGCTATCATTTGTCAAGTTAAAGATGGGTCAAACTTTGACTTGATAGTCACTTATTCTGTGACACGGACAGTCAGCCTGTTAATAAGTTAGCCAGGCTATTGTGTGCTGCAAAACCTACTGGAGAGGGATCACTTGGTTATTTTTAAGTTTGCTTTAGATTTGTGTTTCTATACAAGATCCCTTGCTGTATGTCAGTCAGTAATTTTTGCGAAATGTCAGACAGTCTTCCAATGGTGATGTTCACCGAATAATGAAAGCAACATGGGAATTACTTCTTCCAAGTTTCTCTGAATGTATGAACTGAAAAATAATCAGTCAAATTATGCTACACGGTGAACTATAAGGATTTCATTTGTTGCTGTTATAACACACAGTGACTTAATGAGCTTTGTCACTGCTACATGCCTTGTAAACTTGTATAAAACTGTTTTCATATTTAATTCTATAGTATCAAGACTGTTGTTAATGATATTCTTGCGTATTCTTTAAATGCTAGAGCACAACTTTATGTTCATTTGGAGTGAGTTGTATTTAGTTTAACTGTGGAATGCTTTATGGTTAATAATTTATAATTATTTAACAAACTATGCTCTAGTTCTATCGTAAATAGTTTCATATACTGTCTCCCTGATGCACTCAATGAGGTAATCATCTGCTGTACACTATCCTCTCTGTACTAGACAGCCAGATATCTGTCATCTTTTTGCTCACGTAAATGTTAGCCACAGAAAGCTACAATGCAAACAACAGCCTATATTTTGGAGAATGTAGATCCTTTACAACCTTTATAGGAAATTATTTGTACTCAAAACTCCTCCATGCTGCCCAGTAACCATATTAATATGGAACAGAAAATAACCAAAACATATATTTTGAAGTACTTTTCTATCCAGCCTGTTAGACCCTCAGAATGTTATTTATTGCAGGATCTGATGTTTCCCTTCAAGGTAACCAAATCAGGTAAAAGATACAGTCAGTTAACAAATGAAGGCTGTTGGCTCGTGCCTCATACATTCTTAATCAACTGCATCTGACATTCACTTCACTTGTTGAACTATTATGTAAATGGAATTCTTCTGAGCTAGCACTGAAAAGAAATACGGTTAAATCCATGGTCTCCATAATCTGTAACCAAGAAGAAATAGGCTTCCACCATTTCTGGTTTCATTGTTTGACCTGTAATGCTCTGCTGTGGGTGTACCAACACAAGGATCCAGGTATTGGGAATGCCAGAGGCACAGCACTGAGATGTATAAAAAACACTGCCAGCACAGCTCCAACACCTCCAGAATAAGACATGTTTTATCTGTTAAGTGATCTTTCAGTCCAGCCTTTCAAACTTACATTAAGTGGTTCAAGGTGAAAAATGTTTTTTTTAAAGCTGTTAACTGTTGCTCATATAAAGTTGGTCTAAAAATGGTGACTTCCATAATATTTGCATCTTCACTGTAGCCAACATAACCAGGTAGTGAGCAGATCATAACTGGCACAACATGACTTCAGTACAAGTTATGATACAGCAAAGCCAGGTATATTCTTTTATATTCACGATAGACATGAAGCACATTTAGAGTCACTAGCACAGAAATACAGATTTTCCTCAGCGACAGTTGAAAATCCACCACTGTCAATGTTCATGTTCATCAATAATGAATCTCTATAGTATTCACCATACCTGGGCTGGACTAACTGAACAACAACAACTAACACTGGTCATTGTCTGATCCAGAGGCATTTATCTATTTATAGAAATAGATAGAAGCTGTGCTGCAGTCAAACTAATTATAAGGAGTTGTTTTTTCAACCTATACAGGTTCAGTGATCACATTTTGCATTATACTTTTACCTCTGCAGGTAACCTAAGCCAGCAATAACATCATTGACAAAATACACAAACATACTGTAAGATGTGGTTACTGAGCCAACATTAAGTATTTTAAGTGTGTGAAGCAATGTAGTAAATGTGCCTCAGTACACCTTGATGCTTCCAGCTTGCTGAATGTAACATATCTTCTCCCTTCTGCATGGCTTTCAGAACTATTCAAATAGCTTAAAACTTTGTTGTTTTTATTACGTGTCACTTTGTTGTCATATTTCTGTGGGCTCTTCATTTGAGAACAGCTGTTTTTAAATGCTCAATATTGATTGATAGTATCTCTTTTTGCAGTTTCTGTTTTTGCTGAAAATTTAATAAAACAATACATAAACAATAATTTGACATTGTGTTTTGTCCTGTCATTGCGTAATGCCAATTAATATAAAAAACAATGCTATAATTAATTGTTTACAGGCATTTCATATTTGATTAATAATTATTTGTGTAAGGACAAGTACATTTGATAGATCAATGCACGGCAGCATTTATAGCCAAAGCTATTGTCTTTGTACAAACGCACATAACTTAATAGGAAAACATTCACACATACAAAACAGCACAGAGCACAAACAGAAATACAATAAAAAAACTAAGGAAAATCACTCCATCATCCATGAACACATGATTGATCCCTCTTTAAAAAATGTTTGAGCTCGAGTTTAAAATGATCCTATTGATCCTTTTGTTGTCTAACTGTTTCTGTAATCGCTGCACTGAGAGAGGGGCTGATCAATGTAATTTGTAAATGTATGGCTGGAATAACCCATTAGGGAGCCTGGGAGGAAAGAAAATACCTGTAGGCCTGTTCACTGTAGTGGTAATTTCTTTTAAACACAAATCTATATAGAAATATGCCCTATGTAACTTTTTGACACAGGACTCCATGAAAATGAACTAGACAGGTAATAATACAAGCTCCGCCTTTAGGGTCTTATCATTTGTGGTATTGTGCATAATGGTATATATTCCCAACAGCAACAGCAGTTAATCAAATGAACATAGAACCAACTGAAACACAGATAAAAGAGTTTTATGGACCCTGAAGGTCTGGGAGCCTAATCCAGCTCAGTGTAAATATAATGCAGCCAGTTAAGGATGCCAATTAAAACTAGACCTCCAATTCCCTCTATACTGTTTAGCCAGTTATGATCTTGCTGCACTCTATTTTGCTTATTTTGCACATACAAAAGAACAAATGGTCATAACATCTAAATAAAACTGTTTTAGAAAAACGCCCAAAAGGGTTTACAGACATAATAATGTGTGCTGCTGAGTTTCATTTATCACTCAGCCATAAAAAACAATCAGATTAATGAATTATTGTTTGTCAAACATGAAACATTCAACAGAACATGTAGAAAAAATAAAAGCTTTTCTTATCTAACAACAAAAAACAATCTTAAAAACACACTTTCTACTCAAAATGAGATAACTTCCCTTTACAGTAACTACGGCTGATGGGCTTCTCTCCAAATATGTTGCGCACGCCGCAGTCGTTACGGTAACCAAGAAGGAAATCCCAGCATGTGATTGGACGAGCGGCCAAGATCTTTACTGCGTGACAGTTGTCTCCTCTCCTCACCACCAGTCTGCTGCATCTGGAGCTGCAGCTACGGGACGAGCCGAGAGGTCAAACAACAGCCGATTCAACAGCGAACTCCGGGAGAAAAATGCTTTATAAACAGTAAACTGTGCAACAGAAGTGACTGCAGCATTGTAACACTCAAGAGCAGGTAAGAGGAGTCGTTATTCTACAGGAAATAAAAGTCTGTGTCATCTAAGAACTTCCCGTTTCTGAGCCGAGGATTAGCGAGCAGGGGGGTCTGAATGAATGACAGCATAACGTTAACACTAGGCTAAAAGACGTGTGTCAAATTAACAAAACACCTGGACTGTGTGTTAATAATAATAATAATAATAATAATAATATAATAATAACAACGACCCTGCTTGTTCTGGTTTAGTTGTAGGCTAGTGAAATGTTAGCTTGTAGCAGCCGTTAGCTGCTATTTGTTGGTGGCTGTGAATAAGACTGCTAGGCTAATTGAATTAGCTTTCTGCTTCAGCGAGTTGCAGCTAAATCTCTTGACATGTCAGTCTGGTGTTTCTGTGCAAACCTACTTGTTACATGTTCACTCTCAGCAGTGACATTCCTTCCCTCCGCTCCCATCTACAGACAGAGGATGGAGGTAGAAATAGAGAGGGGGTAGCTACATATCTATACTAGTTACATGTCTTTTATTGTAATAGCAAAGCACAATGAGACCATAAACCAATCACTGCTACACGTGGACTTTGATATTCAATGTGTCAAATGCAGAAACAAGATGGGCAAGTCTTAAGTGTGTCAGAGAAAAGGAGAGTAATAACACCTGTCAGTGAAGCCACACCTAGCTGTGTAATAACTGTGTTTAACTAGTGTCTGTTTAACAACTTAAAGTGGCGTAATTATACTAATGTTCTGTAATATTGTTTCAATTGCATTTGCTTTATACTGGTGTACTCTGACACCAGTATAATTTCACCTGTAAGATCATAAAATGTTTACACATGAAAGCGTGGGTGTGTGTGTGTGATTGCTTGTTAGACTAAGAGGATGCCTAGTGTACAAAAGAGAGCACCGGCTTTCTTTTGGTATGTGATTTCCGGAGTGAAACCTTTTGTTATTGCATTATGCCTACTTCAGTCAATACAGTCATTGCCCGCACAAATGATTTCAACATTAGGAGTACATTCAGACAGTTGTACGACTTAATAGTCTGGCTATATTGTACTGTGTGTCCTGTTGGCCTCATTTGTTTAAATTTGAAAGTTGAAATTTACCAGGAACTAACATGAGCTCATACACTTTTCAGCAGTTGCCATTAAATGTAAAGTTCATCCAGTCAGATGCAGTACTTCTGAGTACTTACATTGGTCAAATTCCAGCACAAATAGGCAAAATAGGATTGTCTCATCACAAGCTTAGAACAACCAGTTCACTATCATTTTGATTAAGGTTGAAAAAAACCAAAGGCACAGCTCTAGGTGGGTTGGGTGCCTGCTTTTATGAGCTATTTGCATATAATTTCAGTTACAAAAGACCAGTTTCTGTCTGTGGAAATCGTCCAGGTAGTGCTATCACAGTAGTCGCTCCAACACTGATACAAAGCTGGCTCATTACGGTTTCTGTGCCAGAACTATCTTGCTACTTGGCAGACACAAAAAGTATGGAACAAGCGATTTACAGACACTCTCAGCATGTTTGATTCCCAAGACTTGACGGGCTGATAAAGTCTGGGAGGAAATGAAAAAGCATTAAGCCTCTCCACTGTATCAAACACTGACCTCATCAGGTGCTCAGGCTGTGTTTGTCTAGAAACAGGTGGGAATGTAAAGTAGATGCGGATGACCAGAAAATGGTTCCTGTACTGTGTACAACACAAAGACTGGAACTCAAAGAGGCTGCATCAAGGCTGTTTCCCCCTCGAATATCAAATTAGAGGTTAAAATGTCTGCTGATTGTTGGTGCCGCTTACTGTCTGCCACGTTGGCCCTGGCTTTAATGCTGCTTTCGAGGCACTGTTTCCTGGATGTGTAGTTGTAAGCCAAGACTCTGCCAGCTGGCTATGCTTGTACTTTCTTTCCTGAGATATTTTGGTTTAAAGAGAGACACATGATCAGACCACAGTGTTGCCTTTGAATCTGTTCTTTAACAAGAACAGGCCAATGGCAAAAAGATCACACCCACTGTTAGTAAAGACGTTAACGGGGTTAGTTGTTCATCAGAAGTAAACCAATATAGTGTAATGAAACACAGGCTTGGGCAGAATCAGAATCAGTATTTGGTTTATTGCCAACTAGGTTGTTACGCCTACGAGGAATGTGACCT